GAGACCCTGTCTAAAAAAAAAGAATATAGCCTGTGAATGAAAAGAATTTAAACTGGAATTGACAGATACACTGCCTGGTTACTTTAAACCTAGCCCAGCTTATTAGAACTCTCCTTCCTATGAGTCTCCTAAAGTTAGCATGGTGCTTTCCTACACTTCGGTAATTCTCACGCCATCTTGACAGTGTCATACTCATCTTGAGTTTAAATCGACACTGATCGCTTTTTATCTGGAGGAAAGGAACATGTTGGTTAAAAGGCACTCAGCTTCAGTTAAGTTTCACAGGAATAAATTCTGGAGATTTATTGTATAGCATGGTGACTGTCGTTAGTAACAATGTACGGGATTCTTGAAAATTGTACTGGACACTGGATTTGAAATGTTCTCCACCCTTTAAAACTATTGGAATATGAGTTGATGCATTATTAAATACTTTGATTTAATAATTTCACAATGATACATGTACCAATACATCATGTTGTACATGGTAAAGACATGGAGTTTTTATGTGTTAAATAGACCTTAATAAATAAAGCTGGGTGAAAACAAAATTCTTCATTCTGAAAAAGTCTTAAGTCTTAAAAACACTGTTCATGCCTCAGCTATCCAAATTGAGGAACTCTGTCTTGAATTTGACATTTTGTATACTTGTATAAATTCTTGACAAAGGTAATTAATATATAAAAACTTTTAAAGCAACTATCATGTTAGAATCATGTTTATATATTATCTATCTAAATACATTAAAATACCCATTTTAATGTATACCTACTATATAAACAAGTTCATCTGAATCTCACCTAAAATTATCTTAGGGGTGTTTGTGGTGATGGATGTCTCACTGCTGAACCTCTGAGGTAAGGACTTCAGCCTGCAGTAGGATCTGAAGTAGAAACAGCCTTCCCCAAAATCATTTCCCTTTCCATGAGACCATGATAGCGAATTTCAGGAACATAGCTCCTTCTTGCACAATATGTAGGGAACAGCTTGGAAGGTTCCTGCAAAGCAAGATGATACCCAAGGCCCAGTCATGTTAAGATCAGGATCACCAGGGAGGACTTATTAGTCAAGTGACTTTTCAAATGTGGTCATATTTAGTGCTGTTTTCCACCTTCTTTCCAACTCTGTTCAAAATAGTTTGCAGCGCCTTTTCCATTTAAAGTAAAAGCAGTTATTTAATGCTTTCAGCTTTTATTTTGGTCTTTTCTGCAAATATTTATTTTTGTAGCTATGGAGGAGGAAATATGGGAGCTCCCACTGGGCTCAGCACACGGAGTCCATACTTCCACTTCTGTTCTCCTGAACTTGTCTGCTGTCAGGACAGCGGAGAGCTACACCACCACCCAACCCAACTCAACACCCGCCCCATGCCCCACCATATCTGGGACTTAACCCCTGAACTGTGACTATGTTATGATACATACCAATTCCAAGGCAAGTGTGAATGCACACTGGAAGTGGAATGAAATCCTAGGTTATCCAGGTAGGCCCAATGGAAACTTGAAAGTCCTTAGAAGTGGAGTAGGGCAGCGGAAGAGAAGGCAAAGAGTGTATGATGGTGAGGACTCAGTTTGACATTAATGGCTTTGAAAATAAAGACAATGACCAGGAGCCCTGGAATGCAAAGTCTCTAGAAGCTAGGAAGGACAAGAGAATGAATTGTCCCAGAGAGCAAGGAGTACAGTACATAATTCTTCTTTAAATGTTTTGTAGAATTCAGCAGTGAATCCTTCAGGACCTGGGCTTTTCTTTTTTGGTAAATTTTTAATTTCATTTTCAATTTCACTGATTGTAATTGGGATGTTTAGAATTTTTTATATCCTCCTCTTTCAACTTTGGTAATTCCTATGTATCTAGAAATCTGTCCATTTCTTCTGTATTTTCCATTTTATTTGAGTACAGATTCTCAAAGTATGTATTGATGATCCCCCGGTTTTCTGTTGAATCTGTTGTAAATTCACCTTTTTTGTTCCTAATTACATGGATTTAGCCTTTTCTATCCTTTTTTGATAAGGTTGGCTAAAGGTTTATTGATTTTATTTATTCTTTCAAAAAACCAACTCTTCAATTCACTGATTTATTTGTATTGTTCTCTTAGTCTCTATTGCACTGATTGATTTCTGTTCTGATGGGCTTTCCTTTGCATGTGATTCTTATCTTTTCTCTAACTGCTTGTAGTATTTTTGTTATTCTGTTAGTTTTCCAGGATCTTGATTATTACATGTCTAGGTGTAGATATTTTTGTGATCATGGCTAGTTGGAGTCCTATAAGCCTTACTTATCTGTATGTCAAATTCTTTTGCTCTGTTTGTGAAGTTTTCTGTTATTCTGTGAACATTTTGTTTTATGTCTCTTGTACTTTCTCCTGCTTTTTCATGGACTCCTATCAGTCTTATATTTTTCTTCTTTTGCATCTTCTAGGAGCTGTTGAATTGATTTCTTATGATCCTTTACTTTTTTTTTTTTTTAGGAGCTCCTCCTTTTCATGGTCACTGATCTCCATCCTGTATTCTACATCTGATATCCTGTCTTCAGATTGGCTCATTTGCTATGTATACTTTCAGTATAGTTTTTAATCTTCTGGATATCTGTTTGAATATGTTTCATGGATTCCATTTCTTTCCTGTGTTGGGCATTCATAGCTTCTATTATGGTCCTGAGCTCATGTATTTTCTTGTCTGTTTCTGTTCTACAGTCTCTAGTTATGTCTTTCATTCTGCTCACCATCTCTGTAGTTATCTCAAATTATTTCTGTTTTGAATTTTTCTAGAGCCTCATTCATCTGTTTTGTTAATTCCTGTGCTATCAGTTCAGGGTGTCAAAGTGGTTGATTGTCATATTTTTCCACCTCATTTCCCCTAGAATTTGCATTTGATGACCAGGCAGACTGTGTCTGTTCTTGTGCCTTGCTTGAATGTCTTCTTATTTCTATTTTTGTTGTGGGTACTATCCTTGGTTTAATTCCTGGGTTAATACTTCGATCTTCCTATTACAGCTTGTCTTTAGGTTTTGAGTCTTTACTGACTCTAAGGCAATCTCATTTTCATTATACCAGGAAGGACAACTGATTAAATCAATCACAATACCTCAGCCCAAGTAATCAATCAGCAACAAAGCATCAAGCATAGCTTAGAAAATAATACTTTGTGTAGGGGAAGTGGGAAGGGTAAGGGAAAGATAAAAATGGAAAAGAAAAAAAACATGAGAAAATGAAAAAATGGAAATAAAATATTTGTAAAAAGAGAAGGGAGGAGGGAGTAAAGGGAGGGCAGGGACAAGGGGAAAAAATGAGAACCAAGACCTGTCATGTAAAGGTACAAGATCCCAATGATGAATGCAACTGTACTGTATACCTAAAATGTACCAATAAACTCAATGAGAAAAAAGAAATTAATAATTTGCAGCAGTTATTAATCTCTCACCTTGTACCCTGTGAATTAAATCAAAATCGAGGGCCGGGGATTTAGCTCATCAGTTTGGTGGCCTGCCTTGCAAGCGCAACGACCCGAGTTCAATCCCTGGTAACAACAACAACAACAAAAAAAGCAAACAAAAGAGAAAAACAAAACAAAAAAAACCCCACCTCAAAATCGAGGCTGGAGCTCAGAACATCGCCCTTTATGACCCCCTGTGCCTCTGTGCTTTGAATCAGGTACCAGGGCGCTGCACCTCTTACTGTTCCTCTGCTGAGGTCAGGGTGCTCCCAGGCAAGCTCCCCTGTCTGCCACTCTCACCATTCCTCTGGCATATTCACTTCTGAAACAAAGGTAACTGTACTGAATGCGGTGAATTTAGAATCCTACTCTCTCAAGAAATAACTAATTCCATAAATTTACGTATCATGCTTGATCCAAATGATTACTGATACCAATGTCAGTAACACTTTCTATATAAAATTAATTTAAAAAAGACTTTTGCTGTTCTCGAAGTTATTGAAGAGTTCCAGAAAGTCAATGTGATGTTTGAAGTATTTTTAAAAGATAGTACAACCAAGGCTCTAGATTTAAATTAGGGTTCTGCCACTTATTAGGTGTGATTTGGGACAGTTAATCTTTACAGTTGTGTTTCATCATCGGTTAAATGGGAATTTAAAAAACAGGATCTATACTATAGGTCTGCGGAAAAGATTAATGAGATCATTCATGTGCAGTTCTTAGCATGGCGCCCGGTGCCTAATAAGTGTGTCTACCTGTTATTATTACTGTTGCGTTATCATCCTGATTTCAAAACTTCTCTAAAAAAGTAGAGCTTTCAAAATCTTCGCTGAGTGAATGGTCTGCACTTTGCATAGTCTAGCCTTTTTCTTCCAATTTTCATTTCTAAAGACACAGCAGTAAATCGTCCTGAAAATACCATCTCTCTTAACAATACTTAACCCTGAGAGTCAATAATCTCTTTAATATTATTCATTCGTTAAAGTAACGGTGAGAGAGAGAGAGAGAGAAGCAATGCACTAATGGATCCTAATTAAACTTTTAACAAAATTTTTCCTCCCAAAACTGAGGCTGGGTGGTCTCTTCAGACCAGCGTGCTCTTCTCCAGCGCTGGGCAGAGCCGGGTCCGCTCCAGCTCCAGGGGTGTCGCCCATCCTTGGGCGGTGCCAGGTGAGCCCGGCGGAGGCCCCCGCCCTGCACAAGCTGCAGCTGTAGGCTGCTAAGCTTCTCCCCGGGCGTCCCTGCACCCTCGTGGCCTCTCCGGTGCGCACCCCGGCCCCACGCGGGCCGTCCCGAAATTCTATCTTTCCCATCTTTTATTCTGTTGCATACACTTTCAATGGAGTTTTTAATCTCCTGGACATCTGTTTGAATCTGTTTTATGGATTCCATTTCTTTCCTATGTTGGGTGTTTATTGTTTCCATTTCTTTCTTATGCTGGGCCTTCATGGC